CACACCCAAAGTGGTGAGGAATGTGAACAGTATTTCAACATGCCTGTTACAGTCTTGAAACATAGAAAGGGACTTGCTATAGTGGGAAAGTTGCATACTGCTTCTGATTTTTATCAGTGTCTGTAACTGGGAGTAAAGCTAAGTTTCAGTTATATTAGTAAAAATAAAGGTGAAATATTTTCCTCCAAGTTCATGGTTACCCAGTATCAGGTGAAGAATCCCTACTTTAGGGAGAAATTGCAGTCTGAATACCGAGGTTTAGAAGAGGCAAGTCCTTACAAAGCCCACAAAATTCTCACTGCAGTGCAGCAGACTTCTGTGCTATTTCTTTCCATGTTGTCCGTGTGGAGTATTAGTTTAGATCTAAAATGGCTCCCAAAACCTTGTGTTTGGCAGGTGATGAATTATGGGGAGCACTACAGATGACTTGCTTTAGGAGACGAGGACTGGTCAGAAAAGGCAGGTCACTGGGAACATGACCAGAAGCGTACATCTTCCTCCCTGGCTGCCATCATGTATGGACTTCTGCAATGGGCCCTTCCACCATGCTGTTTCTGCCTTGGAACCATACAACTACAGACAAATCTCTAAAAACAGATGAGCCAAAGCTAAACCTTCCCTCAATTTGTTGGTGTCAGGCATTGAATCCCAGGAACAATAAAGTGACAAAGGCAGATTTTGTTAACAGGAGTGGCATCACTGCTGTGATGCTCCCTGGCCATGTGGTTTGGAAGCCTTTGGACTTGTTGGTTCTTTGGGGGAGGGGTGTTTAAAAAGGTTTGGTGATGCCAGCTAGAAAAGCCATATAATACTGTAAGCTTGATGGGAGATTCTGGTCAGAGCTCAGACCAGAATGCTGAAAGGCAGATGGCATCAAGACTGGGCTCAGGACAGTTGTTTTTTTTTTTGGTAATGGGGATAGAACTCAGGACCTTGTGCTTACGAGGCAGGCGATGGAACCACTGAAGGAAGTTTCACTTTGGAACAAGGGCTCCATTGGCAATTGGACTTCAGGCCACATGTATTACACACTGGCAGAATTTTTGTTTACATTCTGTTCATGTCCTGAGACTTACAGGGAGACTGAGATTAAAGGTATTGGATTACTAAATCAGGAAGAAATTTCAAGGCAGGCCAATGTTGAGGCTGTGCCATGGGTATTGCTGGCAGCCTTTAGCCAGATCTATATTGAGAATCAAGAGCAAAATGAATAGCGCAGTGATTTTACAAGTTTTGAATGTCACCAAAAAGGAAGCTCCTAGTAAAGTTTTGGCCCAGGAAAGCTTGGTTGCTAAAAAAGATCTGCATTAGAAAGCAGCCAAATACTCTACATTAGGTCAATAGGAAGAATCTGCAAAACCCCACCCCTCCGAGGCTAAAGTGTGTTGGAGAACCTCAGGGCACCATGTTGGAGAAGGGTCACCTAGGGACTTTGGCTCCCTAGGATTTGGTTCAGTGCTCAGCTACTGAGGCACTCGGGCTGCTGCAGCCATGATATAAGAGGCCCCAGCTACCGCTTGAGCTGTTGGCAGACCTTGGCATCATCCACATCGTGCTGGTTTTACAGGCATACAGAATACAAGAGTTGTAGGGTCTAGGAAGCTTTCACCCAGATTTCAGAAGACCTGAGAGGAGTGTGCCTGAGAGGGCAGTGCATGAAGCTGAAGAGTGAAGCTGGAGGTGCAGTGGAGACTCCAGGATGTTACAGATGCAAGGAATGTAGAACATCAGCTGAGGAATGCTACAGGTAGTGGAGGAAAGCTACCTGAGAAGCCATTGGGGTTCAAACGGTAAAGCTGCAGGGGTGGGGCCACCCAAGCAATTTGTAGTTTCCATCTCACAACTTGTCGAATGAAGTATCAGACATGGAGCTACAGCATTTAATGCTGGGTTTCAGTCTTGCTTTGGTCCCATTCCTTTTTTTCCTCTCTCTATTCCTCCCTTTTGGAATGGGAATGTTCATCCCATGGTATTGTATGTTGGAAGTACTTAACTTTCTTTTGATTTTTACAGGTACTCACAGCTAAGCGTTCACTCTGAGTCTTAGAAGAGGCTTTGGACTTGAACTTTTCAGCAATGCCGTAACTGTTAAAAACGTTGGCAACTCTTAAACACCACCCATGCCCTTCTTCCTTGGAGCCAGTCAACTATGGACTAAAACATGTGAGCCAACATAAGCCTCTCCTATTGTAGGTGTTGGGTACTGTGCCCCAATGATGAGAAAGTCATTTAGACAAGGGGTTGTTGCAGATTCCCATTTCCAGCTTGTCTATTCAGGCCCCGCTGGTGATATCTGAGGACAATTTCATCAATTCAAGTTCTGCTTTTCCTGACAGGCAGCAGCTTCTCAGTTTTGTCAGCTTGCCAGCTAACTGAAGGTCAAAGAAAAAGGAAGTTTTAAACAGAATTATATGTCCTCAGGGGATAGGGGTATAGCTCAGTAGCAGAGTGGTTGCCTAGCAGATGCAAGGCTCTAGGTTTGATTCCAGCACTGCACCCCCAAACCCACTTTCTTTTTTTTTTTTTTCAGTTTTTTTGAGACAGGGTCTCACTATGTAGTTGAGACTGACCTGGAACTCACTCTGTAGCCCAGGCTGGTCTCAAACTCACAGCAATCCTCCAGCCTCAGCCTCCAGAGTGCTGGGATTACAGGCGTGCGCCACCACGCCCGGCTAAACCCATGTTCTTTTACTATCATCATTGTTCACTAAGCAGTGAACATTTTTGACTTCCCCCTTTTATTATAAAACATACAGAAAGATGCATAAAATATAGGGGTTCAATTAACTGTCAGCTGTTATTTTGTATAAGTGTAGGATGTTCACTCATTGCTTTGTGGTTCTCCACTATGAACAGACCATGATTTAATGGGGGTAGTACAGAGTACTGTTATGGACATTCTAGTATTCTACTTCATTCTTTTTTTTTTTTTCCACTGCTGGGGATGCAACCTTGGGCCTCACACATGCTAGGCACACAGCCCTCAACTGAGTGACATCTGCTATTCCTCTAGTACCCATTTCTTAGGAATGGAATTGGCATATGTGCTGCTTTAGTAGAGCATACCAGCCAGGGGTAGTGGCATGCACCTGTAATCCTAGCACTCAGGAGGCTGAGGCAGGAGGATCACTGCCAGTTCAAGGCTAGTCAGAGCTACATAGTGAGTTCAAAGCCAACCTGAACTACATATTGAGACTCTGTCACAAACCAACCAACCAACAAACTTGACACCTTTCCATAGTGGTGGAAAGCAGCATGGACCAAAGTTGCAATTGTTACCTATTCTTCCAAATATCTAGTGTTCTTGTTGTCAATCTTTTTTAGCTGGGCTGGAACTTGTGATCCTCTTTTCTCAGTCTGCCAGAGCTGTGATTTTATATTTTAAAAAAGGTCTCTTTAAGAGAAGGCTTAGTCTGAATAATCTGATAGGCCACTGTCAAAAAATGGACATCCTCTTAATACCTGGGGCTTACCAAATTCTGCGATGGGTCAACTGAGTCTCCGTTTCCTACCACAGCAGGCAGTTTCATCCCTGGAAATTGTCTATGTCCTTTGTACTGTGTCAAGTCTCTGCTTAAACATTACCTTCCATGATAGCCCTTCCCAAACTGCTAACAGCAATACCTACCTAGAATTCCTAATTCTCTTCATTCTGTTTTAGTTTCTCCATTTTCATATCCTATATTACTTTTACATTTTACATATACAATCATGCATCATTTAATGAAAGGGACACATTGTAGGAAAAGGATCCTTAAAATGATGTTGTTTGTGCAAATATCAGAGTATACTTACACTGAGATGGCTCTGACATCACTAGGTGATATATTATGGGACCACTGGTGTGTATGCAGTCTGCTACTGACCATAACATCATTACACAATACAGGACTATTGCCAAGATACATAAACGTGAAATACTAGCCATATAGTGTGTTTGTGTATCCATAGACTGTCTTTTTCCCTCCAGTAGTGGGGACTGAACCCAGGGCTTCACACATGCTAAGCAAGGACTACCGGTGAAATACAAATCCAGTCTTTTTGTTTAAAACTTCAGAAACAATCTTGCTAAACTGGCTAGGCTAACCTCCAACTAGCAATCCTTCCTGCCTCAGCATCCTGAGTAGTTGGATTATAGGCATTGTAACACTGTGCCAGCTCACAGTGATTTTTTTTAGGGGGTTTCACATTTTAAATTTGTTAGTTTTTCTTTTTTTGTAAACAAATAATTGATGAAATAATGCAACACTTTATAGTGTTTTATTACTCCTTTCCCAAATTAGTAGCTCTATAAGAACTGAGCTATTTGCCTGTTTTGTTCCCTGCTCTAACTTCGGCCACAGAACAATGCCTGGCATACAGTATGTCCTCAACAGATGTTTACTGAAGGCCAGGGATTTAGCTCAGTGATTCCACTGCCTGCCTCACAAGGACAAGGTCCCAAGTTCGATTCCCAGTACCAAAAAAAAAAAAAGCATGACCTCTTCGGGGATGGAGATTTAGCTCTGTGGCGGTGCGTCTGCCTTGTAAAGCGCAAGGTCACGAGTTTGATCCCCAGTACCGAAAAACAAAAACAAAAACAGATGTTTATTGAATGCCTCAAAATGTAATATGTAAAGCCCTCAAGCAGTTGCTAGCACACAGCAACAATGTTTAGTAAATACCCACTGACTAAAATCTTATCAGTTGATGGAACATTTCAAAGGTGTAACTGAGCCAGTAGTCTCAGCTGTTTTGGAGGCTGAGGTAGGAAAGAGTGCTTGAACCCAGGACTTTGAGACGAACCTAGGCAACATGGGACAATCCATCTCAAAAATGAAAAAAAAAAAAAAAAAAAAAAAAAAGAAAAAAAAAAAAAAAAAAAAAAAAAGTGGGCCGGGGATTTAGCTCAGTAGTTCCACTGCCTGTCTTGCAACCAAAAAAAAAGGGGGAAAAAAGTTAGATTGTACAGAGCTTTTTCTTAGAGATACCTTTTACTCCAACTCTTAAGGCAAGCTTACCTTAATATGTTAAGGTGTACAGTTCATTTTGTTGTCCTCTATCTATCGCAGAAAAAGAAAAGGGTCTCAGATATTTGGCTAAATCTTTCCATTCAGCCCATTGATTTTTACAGCTATTGGGAGGCCAGAAAGAAAGAGGGACCATGGGATGCAGGGCAGAAAGAGGAGTACTGGGAAGGGGTCAATGTGGGCTCAGAGCCACTTTTCCAGACCTCAGGGGACAGCAAGGTGCGGAGCTGAGGGGTGACCAGGGGCTGGGACAATGCATCCACTCTGCTGAAGGTGCAGTCCTGGGGGCGGATCTCCCTGGCCAGCCGCCCCTTCTTCTTCAATGTGCAGGCCTCCTGGTATGGAGGTGAGATGGGGGGCTGTGTGGGTGGAGTATACTTGTACTTGGAGCCATCCTGTAACTGCAGAGACACAAGAGGCAGGAGATGGTGAGGCCCTGGGACCTAAGAGAGCCTTCCCTCCCATTTCTTGCTGGCAGGGCACTCACGTCCAGTGGGTAACTGCAGTCTGAATCATAGGCGCTCAGGTCTCCACAGGTCACGAAAGGCACAACAATGCGGGTGGGACCATCCAGTTGGTTGAAATCTGAGTCTTAGGAAAAGGCAGGGAGAAGACTGAGGACAGGACCGGTCATGACTCAGGCCACAGTGTGGGTACCTGATCCTCCCAATATATCTGCCAGCCACTCTCCCCCCAGCAACCCTTTCTTCTGTTCAGGTCATCTCCCCCTTCGGGAACCCTCTACCACCCTTCTAACACTTGAGCTCTGATTTTTCTCTGCACTCATGTCCACTTCATTCTATTTTACACTGCCTGGATCTTCTCCCTCATGGGGCAAGGGTCTGACATGGATGACCTTTCCACTTTGGGACATATAGTACAACTGAGGGTCGTAAGACAGAATTCCCTCAGTCAAGTGGAGTCTTCCCTAGAGTGGGGCTCTGGATCCCGGGACACAATTTTCATCAGGACCAAGAGTTACCACCAGGGAACTGGCTGGGCTGAGGCTGCCCCTGGGACTAAACAGACAGAAGACGTCCAGTGCACAAGACAGGGAGCAGCACCCCAGGGATGGCCTCTGCTCTGGCTCTCACCGTACGAGTGGTCCAGCAGAGGCTTGGTCAGGTCTGGCGCGAAGCCCTCTGGAGGGTCATAACCCCGACAGACAGCGAAGGCCTCTGTGGGGGGATGTGGGTTGAGGGGTGACAGACTGCCACCTCTATCTTGTGCAGGCTGCCCTCCCGAGCACCCCCTTGACTGCCCAGCCTCCACCCCACTGACCGATGCTGGAATTCCGGCTGCTCCTGGGTTTCGCGCAAAGCACACTGGAGAAGAAGACTCGCAGCTGGCTGTAGAGCAGTGTCACGTCCCGGCCTCGGAATATCTGAGGGGTGGAGAGGCTGAGGTGGAGGGGCGAGGGTGGCCCTCAGGAATCTCTCACTCTGCTCTTCTAGGTTCTCCAACACTTACCTTGGCAACAAAGCAGCCCCCTGGCTTCAAGACGTGGGTAGCAATGTTCAGAGCCTGTGGGCAGGACAGATGTCTGAGGCCAAAGTGGAGACAGGCAAGAGGGGACCGAAGGAGGGCATGGGCAGCCAGGATTACTCACGGCTAGGAGGAGCTGGGCCTGCATGTACTCGTCAACATCATGGAGACCGGTGACTATGGCGAGAGAACAGCATTAGAGGCCCTAACAGGTTCTGTGCATGTTCTTGTACCAGAGACCTGACAGCTAAAACAATAGTTCTCAGGCTCTGGGTGCAAATTACTATCTGCCAACTGAACACATTTTTGGAGCTCCCAAGCCTTAGGAAAGAAGTCATTTTAATTCTAAAACAACCTCACATACAAGCAACATTAACGGCTCTATTTCTAGCCCAACAGTTCCTCTGAGCTCGGTTCACAGATCAGACTCCACAGCTCCAACATGTCCAAATCCAAACTCCTGGACGCCCTGTCCAAACCTGTTCCTTTCCCCTCAAATGGGACTTCCAGGGATTCTGGCCTAACCTCAGTTCCCCTTGATATACTTCTCCCATCTTTTCCCTGTACCTATATTCTAGACATTAGCAAATCCTGGTAGCTGTATTTTCTGAAGTGTCCTAAATCAATCCCCGCCTTTCCAGCACTCCTCATTCATTTGACCACAGCAGTGTACCCCTCCACTCCTCCTTCTGGCTCTGCCTCTCACACTGCTCAAACAGCCTAAAGGAGGCATCCTGCCATGACCCAAGCCATGCACAATCCTCTGCCCACAACCTTCTCATGGACTGATCCAAACAATCATCTTTGAAAAAAAGGCAACATCCTCACCATGGCCCACCAGCATCTATTCTGCCCCCTTCCCCACACCTTTTGCCTACTGGGGACTGATCCCAGGGCCTTTGTATTGAGCTACATTCCCAGTGTTTATATTTCTGTTGCCCAGGTTGGCCTTAAATTGCCATCTTCCTGCCTCAGCCTCCAGAGTAGCTGGGATTAGAGGCATGCAATCACATGTCTGGCCTTACCACTTTTTAACATCACTTAATTCAACTGTTTATTTTCTTTTTCTGTGTGTGTGTGTGTGTGTGTGTGTGTGTGTGTGTGTGTGTTTGAGACAGGGTTTCACTATGTAGTTCAGGCTGGCCTTAAACTCACTATGTAGCCCAAGCTGGCCTTGAAATCACAGTGATCCTCCTGCCTCCGCCTCCAGAACGCTGGGATTACAGGTGTGCGCCACTGAGCCTGGCTCAACTGTTTGTTCTCTTTCCCATTGGCTCCCACTGGAACAACAGCTTCATAAAGTGAAAGAGAATTCTATTCACCAGTGCTTTCCCAACAAAACAAGTGCTCAGCAAAAACATTTTTTTTTTCCAGTTCTGGAGAATGAACTCAAGAGTCTCTGCACTGAGCTATATCCTGGCTCTTTATTTTGAGCCAGGGTTTTGCTAAGTTGCCCAGCAGGGCTTGAACTTACAATCCTCCTGCTTCAGCCTCCCGGAATACTGGAGCAAATGTGTTATGAAAAGAGGATTGACTAAAACATATGAAGAGTAAGAGGGATTAGATTGGTGCAGAGATGAGAAAAGGGAAGGGTGGATAAGAAGAACCAAACTGAAAGGGAAGGCTGGGAGTGGAGCTCAAGGGTAAATCCCTGTCTAGCAAGTGTGAGGTCCTGGGTTGATCCCTGGCAGCAGGAAAAACAAACAAACCTAAAATCGGGTGAGGATAGGGAAGAAGGCAGAGGCAGAAAGCAGGGAGTTGAAGAAGTTAGGTATGTGTGTGTGGTGGAGGGGGAGCTGAGATCAGAGGAAAGAGACAGAAAGTCAACCAAGGTGAGACAGAGGATACGCATGTCACTTCCCGCTGCCCATTTCATTTACCATCAGGAGCCCCGTCACACACCACCAGGTCTGCATGGCAACCCTCAAAGTGCTGGATGATTTCCTTGGCGGTGGAAAGCTAGAGGGAGACAGAGAAAGAGAGACACAGAGGGAGAGAGAGGATGAATGACCCAGTGCCCTCCACTGCTGCCCATAAGTCCAATCAGCCCTGGCACTGCCAGGTCATTCAAGTCCTCAGGCTCTGTTGGTCTAAGACTGGGTTTCATCCGGGACCTGGCTTCGGTCATTTTTTGTGGTCTCTCTGTGAGATGACTTGTTGGCTCTGTTCTGTGCTGCCAGTCTTTTTTTTGGGGGGGGCGGGTTGTTGAGATAGGGTCTTACTATGTAGCCCAGGCTGGGCTAGAACTCACAATGATCCCCTTGCCTCAGCCTCCTGAGTGCTGAGGTTATAGGTGTGTGCAACCACGCCTGGCTACATCAGTCTGATTCTGTCTGTGATGCTGGGCTAGAACCCAGGGTCTCTTACAGACCAAGCAGGTGCTCAACCACTGAGCTGCACTTGACTTCTCTGTTTCTACTAAGCTGTCTTCTACTTCACCCACCATACACCCCAACACCCTCTCACCTGGGTGATGTCTCCTTGGATCTGTATCACACCTGGTAGGGGAGCCATAGCTTGCAAATCCACAGCTACCACATGGCCGGACCCCTGGCCCCTGTGGACAATGTGGCCCATGTCAGCCCAGTTTTCATTCATGGCCCCTCCCTCAGCCAGGCCACCCCTCCCAGCCCCTCACTCACCGAATCTTCTGACTCAGCACCTGGCTCCAGCTGCCTGGGGCTGCACACAAGTCGACTGCCCGTGTCACACCTGAGCACACACAGGGAAAGCATACTGGTTAGATGTACTTACCCCTCTCCATTGGGAGCACCCAGACCACTGCCCAGGTGCTCAGCCATCTTCTTACTGTCTCTCTGTCCCAGAGGCCCTCTAAATCAGTCCACCCTCCACCATGAGCTCTGCAGACCCAGCCCACTTGTCTGTCTCCTGAGCCACTCCAAATTTTGGGTGTCCGGCCCGACTCAAGGACCTTGGAAGAGGTGGAATTCCTCATCGAGTTGTAGCAGCTTGAAGGCACTGCGGGCCCGCCAGCCATTCTCCTTGGCCAGACGGTAGTAGACATCCCTCTTGTCCTTTGACGTCCGTCCCATCTCACTGTTCACCTGCCAACAGCTGATGCCACCTGTATCAGTAACAAGGTGAATGGACCACCAATTACCTGTGCAGGGCAGAGAATCATGTTCACTTCGAACCAAGCTCACGTGACCAATACAAAGCTCACAGGAAGCACATGGGAAGACTAAAGCCAGGCACTGACCCTACTGACCTCACAGGTCCCAAGGGCCCTGTCACTGAGTTCTTAGACTCCATCAGTTGCCTCTCAGACCCCACAAAGACCCCACAGACTCAATGCTTATCTGACAGATGAACCACTACTGATCCTGTCTACCAGTGGTTACCATCACCAACATTCCACTTTATAAACTGACCTCTACCCTTTGCCTACCTCACTGACCATCTTCCCAGTTGTCCCTAGATTCACAGAGCCCCATTAGCCCCTATTAACTCTTGCCTTTCACTTCCATTACACTAATGCTACCTCACTATATCTCCTACTCCTTTATCTGTTTACCCTATCCTGCACTTCATTAATCCCCTGAGTGATTAGGCCCTCTGTAATTCCTTTATCACCACATCTTTAACTGTTATTAATGTTTAGAGCAGTGATGGTGAGCTTTTCAGAGCTTCTGATGATACAAACACACTGTGGCACGCATGCCATAGGTTCGCCACCACTGGTCTAGAGGATCATGGCCTCTTAGCGCCCTGTTATGCTCTCAGTTACTCTGCAGCCCTCCACTTCACACTATTGGTCCTCAGTAGCTTGCCATTAATGTGGTCCAGTTGCTCCCTGATGCTCACACATCAGCTGCCCACTGGCCCTCCACTCATTACTCAGTGGACACATCCCAACATCTTACTGTTACTTTTTTTCTCACTCTGTCCGCACTAACTACTCCTCCTACAACATCCCATCAGCCTCAATCTCTTCTTTTATCACTGCCCTAATTAGTCCCTTGATCATAACTCCTACCTGTCTCTAGTATTCCCTCTAGACCCTCACCATTATTGTTTTCATTACTACACTTCGTCACTCTCCATTAACCAGCTGAATAGCATTCTCCAACAGTCCTTTGGGGATCACACCCCCATTCACTCCCCACTATTTTATCCCCTTCACTAATCAATGAACGAACGCACCCACCGGCCCCGACACTCCTATCAGTCCTCAATGACACCTGCCAGACTTCTACAACCCTCGCAGTCCACCCAATCTCCCACTAGCTCCCTGGCCACACTCCCGGTGAGTCTTCTTCATCGCCTCAAAGACCACAGCCCCACTGGGACCAGGACCACCGTATCCCACTCCAGGCGTTGCCACTTGCCGCACGCACCCCCTCGACCTCTCCCCGCATTTTAGTCCCCCTGTGTAGATAACCATGGGGTCTGCAGCCCACTAGATGCCCGGAATATGCAGTTGCAGCACCAAGGACCGACGTCCCTCTAACCCTGCCAGCGGCACAGCGCTGGTGTGCCTCCAGTCTCGGCCAGAATCAACGTCCTACGTACCCCAGGGCCTACCTTAGCTCTCAGAACGAGGAGGAAGGAGTCTGGTCCGCCAGCAGCCCGAGCCTCGGCAAGCGCGGCAATCTGTGAGAAATGGTAGTGCTGACTCGGATGCCTGCCACACATGCCTAATGCTTACCGCAGCGGGGCAAACTTGGCATAGCAGAGCCACAGAGCTCCAGCGAAGTCCGTACCGGACCGAACGTACCACGTGGATCCAGTCAGGTAGTGTCGGCGCTTCCGGGTTACGCCAACTGCCGCTCCCAGCATGCAACGAGAACGAACAAGCGGCGGGACCCACGTACTACTGGGCGAACGTCGCGACACCGGAGGACAGATTCTTTGGTGTTTTTTCTTGCATAGCAGAGCCACAGAGCTCCAGCGAAGTCCGTACCGGACCGAACGTACCACGTGGATCCAGTCAGGTAGTGTCGGCGCTTCCGGGTTACGCCAACTGCCGCTCCCAGCATGCAACGAGAACGAACAAGCGGCGGGACCCACGTACTACTGGGCGAACGTCGCGACACCGGAGGACAGATTCTTTGGTGTTTTTTCTTTTAGGGGGAATCAGAGTCAATGGACTACATTTCCCAAGATGCATCTGCACAACCTGGCCCACTCGATTTACTCTTGGCGCGAAGCGAAATTTCCGCTGAGGGCGTGAACAGCAGAAAAAGTATGTTGATAAAGTGTGCCACCGCGTGAAAGCTACTCTGATGCAATTTCAGATCCCGCTTTCGCAAGATGGTGACACTGCCTTTAGTTTTGACCTCTCAGAATTTTGGTTTCTTCATCCGGGAAATGATCAATGAAGCAGAATGCACAGCGTTACTGAAGGTTAAAAAGGTGTACGTTTAGGACACTTTCCCGTCCTTTCTTTTCTTTAAAAAAAATTTTTTTTGGTATTTTGAGACAGGGTCTCACTATGTAGTTGAGACTGACCTGGAACTCACTATGTAGCCCAGACTGGTTTCAAACTCACAGCTATCCTCCTGCCTCAGCCTCCCGAGTGCTGGGATTACAGGTGTGCGCCACCACGCCCAGCTAAAACATTTTTTTTGGAGACAATGTCGCACTGTGTAGTTCACGCTGGCCTTGAACTTGTGGTGATCCTCCTGCCTCAGCCTCCCCAGTGCAGGCAGTGCTACCATATACCCAGCTTTGTCCCATCCTTTTTTTTTTTTTTTTGGTACCAGGGATCAAACTCGGGTCCTTGTGCTTGTGAGGCAGGTGGGAGGAACCACTGAGCTAAATCCCTGGCCCTTGTCCCATCCTTTTTTACCTCCCATCTACCAAAGACTATATACATTGTGACCCAGAGCACAAGATGCAATATATATAATGGGACATTTATTATAGCGTTTATCATGTGCTAGGCACTGTCCTAAGTTCTCAGTGCTGTGCTGGTAAATGATTAACCAGCTTTGATCGGGCTCGGGGACTGGTTTCTAATATTTGTCAGTTTATGTGTTTACACAATATCATCTGGTCAGATTTCAGTTTACCTGTGTGTAGTGTCTGAACATGAGATGCACTGGTATATTATATACTATTCATACCACACAGATAAAATAATGTAGGGGTAAATGATCTCAAGAGCATAGGGAATGAGTGAAATGCAATAATTAGGAACTGATGAATTTCAAGTATTACCTTAAAAAGTTTAATTCATTTATTGTAAGCCTTTAGGTTTTTTTGGTTTGTTTTGTTTTGAGAAAGTATCTTGAATTCACTGTAGAACAGGCTGGTCTTGAACTCACTGACATCTTCCTGCCTCAGCCTCCCCAGTGCTGGTATTACAGGTGGGAGCTACTATGCCTGGGTAGCATTTCATTTTTAACAATAGTTGTTTATCAGCCAATTCACAAAATTACTGAAAATTGAACAAGTGATTCCTGCAAACCTGTGCAAGTTGTTTCTGGTGTGTTGTAGAATTCTTTCATTTATTCCCTCATTTTAGTCTTCACAACAGCCATATGAATTACTGTAATTATTCCCAGTTTACAGTGGAGGAAACTGGGGTAAGGGAGGGTTATGTTATAGTAAGTCTATCTACATGCTGTTTGGACTGTGGATATAACTCAGTGGTAGAGTGCTTGCCTAGCTGCATGACGCCCTAGGTTCAACCCCCAGCATAATACAAAATTTATTTAATATGATATGTATATGATTATATAAAAATACAATGATGTATAATATTTACTGTTATAGATTGGGATCAGTGGTACATGCCTATAATCTCAGCTACTCTGGAGGCTGAGCCAGGAAGATCATAAATTCGAGGCCACCTTGGGCAATTTAGTGAGATATTATCTCAAAGTTAAAAATGAAAAGTCCTAGGATGTAGTTCAGCAATAGAGCATTTGCCTAGCCTGTATAAGGTCCTGAGTTCAAACCCTAGTGCTAAAAAAATTAGTACAAAAATTACATTGCAACAGACAATAAAAATGCCATCATATGTAAATATCAAGAACTATATAATGGTATATATTTAATACATTTTGCATATTGTATGAATATATACGACATATATAATAGACATATAAATGTCAATATAAATAAATGTGCTAGTATCTATACATTTACTTGCTAAATTAGCAATAATAAATATAGATATAGCAGAAGTGGTGGTAGGCACCTGTAATTCCAGCACTCTAGGAGGCTGAGGCAGAAGGATTATAAATTCAAGGCCAGCCTGGGCAATTTAGCAAGACCCTGTCTCAAAATAAAAAATAAAACAAAGAATCCCCAATATTGCTAAGTAAATAAACACTAAGTCGATATATAAGGTTTTGTCAGGTGAGATAAAGGCTCCAAAGAATGATAAAATATATTGAGAAAAACTGGGCATGGTAGTGCACACATGTAATCCTAGTACTCCAGAGACTGAGACAGAAGGATGGCTGCAAGTTTGGGCTACATAGTAAGTTCAAAGCCAGACTGCATAGCAAGTCTCTGAAAAAAAAAAGTGTGGTGAAAGGAATGGAAAGTTTCTTTTCATTTTTCCTTTCATTTATTATAGATCTTGCTTTGCTGTCCAATCTGGCTTCACACTCCTGGGCTCAATTGATCCTCCTGCCTCAGCCTCCTGAGCATCTGGAACTACGGGGGTGTGTACAACACTCGCTGAGTTTTTTTCGAGCCATGGTCAGGGAAGGCTTCTCTGAGGTGCCATTTGAGTGGAGACCCAAAGGGGGAGTGCACCTCTAGAATATTTGGAGGAAGCGAAATTTGGAAAGCGGGAATGCCAAAAAACAAACTTGAGTAAGAACAAGTTTGGTTAATATTGAAGGAACTGTACTGGGGACTGAACCCTGGGCCTTTGCACTGAGTTATATGTATAGCCATTAAAATTTTTTTGAAAAAAAAGTTTTGAAAAAAAATTTTTGAGGCAGGGTCTTACTAAGTCACTGAGTTGCCCAGGCTCAAACTGGCAGTCATCCTGCTTCAGCCTCCTAGAGAGCTGGGATTACAGGTGTGTACTTACCATACCAAATCTGACTAATCCTTCATGCCTTTGACGGTGAGTTTCATCAGGCAAGAGTTCCTGGTGTCATATTCATTGCTGCCTTCCAGTGCCTGGAAGAGGGCACAGTGTACAGTTTATCTGCAATAAATTGTTACTGATACTATTATAATTTATTTTTTTTTCTTTTTTTTTTTGGTGCCAGGGATTGAACTCTCAGGTCCTTGTGCTTTCGAGGCAGGTGGGTAGAACCACTGAGCTAAATCCCCAGTCCTGTTACTGATACTATTCCAGACAGCTAAATTAGGTAGAAATATTGTAGGCAGTCAGATAGGGCTAGGTCTTCAAGAGAATCATTGAAAAAGATGAAAACGCATTACAACTGTGACCGGAGGTGCAGCAGTTGGAGGCTAGGCCTCCACATAAGAATGAAATGACCAGGCCTGCATACTTTCCCACGGGTGTGATAAACAGTAACGCCTAGCCTAATGAAGTCTAGATAGACATCAGTCACCTTGGTAGGTGACCAAGACCCCTGGGTCCATCTCTTCCTTAGAAGTTCTTTGTTCTTTCCATGCACACTTGTTACATGACTTGCTCCACTATTACCTAAGCGACTATACTGGTAACCTTTTTAGTTGATCATACCTTTAACCCATGTGGTTGTGCTTTATAAAACTACCCTTGAAGGGCCAGGGATTTAGCTCAGTGTTCCTGCCACCTCCCACACAAGTGCAAGGTGCTGAGTTCAATCCCCAGTACCAAAAACAAAAAAAACAAAAACAACAACTTCCCCTGAAAAGTGAGGTCCCTCACCACCCATTCAGGACCCCTCCTGCCTCTCAGGAGTTTGAATCTCTCTCTCAGTAAATATTTCCTACTGTTAACCTCCATTGTTCCTTAGAATTCATTCTTTGTTTCTGGGGAACTCGAACTTGGCATATCTGATAGGTTGGGAGTTGTAATATTTCCCCTATATCATTTAGAGGTCTAATATCACTCCTATATCAGTACCACACTTCTGTGGCATTGTTCTTGCGCTCTTTCCTGAGTGGTACATTTTACATCATTTTTCAGGGCCCTGGGAGCAGGTGTAGATAAAGATGCAGACATTCTTGAATGGGTCCCTGAGAGCCAGGGAAGAAGTGACTGGTTGGGGTGTATCTCAGTAATAGAACACTTGCTTGGCCTGGCCTGCCCAAGGCTGTGGGTTTGAGCTGCAGCACCACACAAAAGCAAAAAGCCAGTTTTGTGGACAAAACTCAAGGGCCTTGTGAAGCAGTAGGAGCCTAGCTCCCTGTAGAGGTTAGCGAGTGTGAGAAAGGAAGGGTTCGAGCTACCAGCCTGCTGCTCCACAGGCAAGGAATGGGCCCGTGTGCACTCTGGGGGACGCTTCCCATGTCCTGTTTTCTTTCAGCATACAAAGAGGATGTTTAATTTTTGGCAAAGAAACTTGCTTCCTCCAGCAGGGCTGGGAGTTTGGGGGACAAGAGCCAGGCTCTGAACTCCCCAGGCTCTTCCCGAAGTAGGGTGTCGGCCCGCAGCTCCCACCCGGCACCCCACTGAGAGTAAAGGTGTCCTCCCTCCAGCCTCCTGAAGAGGTCAAGGAGCGGGGAGATGCCAGAATAGCTCTTTCCCAGAGGGGCATCTGAACAGCTCCAGGGAAAGAGGGGGTTGGCTTGGAGAGGCAGGCTTAGCCAGGCAAAAGTTGCTTTGCTGCCCAGGGGCTAGTTTGAGGGACCGGAAGAGACTG